ATATGACTAAACTTATTGTAATCTGATATTTAAAGTATTATACATCTGGTAACAAAAAATAAAACCATTATTTGTCAGGTTTATAAAATGTGTTCACCATTGCTGCAGACTACCTTCATAGAAGTAATTTTTCACATAATATCTTTTGCTACCTGGTAAATTGTTGTCAATAAAACTTTAAAAATTTAATTAGTATCAAATTCGAAATAACTAAGCAGTGCAATCGAATACAGCTTACATAAATAATACAAACTTAAGATTACGAATAATAACATTTAACAGATGCAACGGACGAAAATTACTAATCGATGTATTGAGTCACTATCTAACTTCAATAATATAGTTAAAATAATTACCATCTCAATTAATTAAAAATGTGACCTAATTTTTTTTTGTACATGATTCATCTTTATTGCTGTCTACTTTGATCACGCAGCCGTTGCTCAATGCCAATTTCTGCACTAACTCTTCATTTTCGCACAACTTAGAGTTCTTCATTACTTCCAACATAGCCTGTAGTTTCAATACATAGTCTGAATATGCTGGTCCACACTTAATAAACTCTTCTATAAGGTTCTCAATGGTGGTTTTTAAGATTCGAATTTCCTGTAAGTATATTATAAACAAAATTAAAACTGTCGAACATATATTTTAGAAAAAAATTAAACAGTTATAATTTTGTATATAAATTATATACATACATGTAGTACCTATGGCATAAATAATATTTAAAAGTAATTGATCGTACTTTATTAGGATAATTTACTAATGTTTGATGAAATAAAATTCATTGAAAAGAATAATTAACATAATAATTAATTATTTTCGATCTACGTAATTGAATGGAAAATTAATAAATTGTTTGTAAGATTATTTAAATAATTTAATCARATATGTTTTATGAATAACTCTATGCCTAAATATAATGAAAACTGTACTATAGCTAACATCTATATAAGTATAATATAATTATATATTATCATAATATTCTATTAAAATTACATTTATAAGTTATTAAAAATGAATTTCTCTTTAAATTTTAAAGTAAATATTGAATGATTTACACCTAGTAAAATTTTAAATGTTGTAAATCAGGTTTATTTTTTGTATTGTATCTTAATTGCCACAGTTATTTTACAAAAATGTCCTTTTGTAAAAGCCAGACATTTTTTAATAATAGAAAACTTCATCATATTGGTTGGTATAAAAATATAAAACCTATTGTAAGAATGTGTATGAAAACAATCAAATAACCACTGATAAGACTTGAAAACGCTGCATTTCAGTAAAGAAGTTGTGACTTAATTATTTTTTATTAACTTTTAAGGTTAAAAAATTATTGACTGCATATTATTTTTGGTCTAATATTTCAGGAGCTAAACAATACAACCAGTCAAGTTGAAAACTATAATTAATAGTGCATGCTTATTCTATAGGCATGTACATGATTTACATTATCTATGCACGATTAATGTATATTAAATTAAACTCACGCTTCTTTCATTAAATTAATAATAATAATTCATAAATGTTAACACATTTATTAATAAAACTTACAAAATAACTATATTTTAAATAATATCACGTTTAAAGTTCAAACTACAATAATGTGCATTGTATTATAAAATACAATATATGCAGAAATTTCTGTACCTGAAGTTCTGTGCTTTCTTTGTTGTCACTTATACTTTCATACGACAGATCAGAATGTTTTTGTTTACTATTGAACTTCAGCTTTTGTGTAGTTATTTTATGAGAAGACGTCTCTTCTACCTTGTGTTCGCCTTTGTATATTATCAAAGCCTGTAAATAAACAAGCGAAAAATTAATACTAAATACCTTAAACTTAAATACTTAATATAAGTTGATATACGTTAAATTAAAAAGTGTTTGTTTTCCTGAATATTTTAAGTAACAAATTAATTTTATTTATTGATCTAAAATTTTTTAACGATTTATACATTTGCGATTGATTTTAAATTTAAATACATTTAAAAATAGCGAATAAGTGGGTAACGTTCAACTGTATATTAGGTGTCTAGAGAGTGTGTTATATTTAAATTCAATAATAACATAAAATCATTGTATACGAAAAATGAATCTGAT